CCCCCCCGCCCGGAGAGGACTCTGACCTGTGTGGTGACCCGGGACCAGGGGGGGGGGCAGGAGCACCTGGTGGTCCAGAGGCCCCACAAAGGTCAGAACCCCAGTCCTTAAGAACCCCAGACCCCCAGTCCTTTAGAACCCCAGTCCTTAAGAACATCAGTCCTTAACTCATTCGCTGCCAAAGACGTCTATAGACGTCTTTTATGTTTTTCAATGCGAATGGCTTGGGGGACGATCGGCGAAAGTTTTCCCGTAAATATCGGCTTCTAGACAGAGTATGGACTAACAAATTTACCCTCTAGGTAGCTTTGCCACTTTTGATGGGAGATTAGCATAGATTGTAAGCAAATAAAAACAAACGCAATAGTTCGCTATGAGAGAAATGGCGCCGGTGAGACGCACGTCGAAGAAGAACGGACTGAGGTAGAAACAAAATCTTTTTTCCTGATGAAAGAAGAGAGTCTACTCTTTCTTTTGGTGTGTTCGGTGTTTACATAGTCATAGCACAAACTATTCTGTGGCTCTTGAAAAATCAGTCAAAATTCTCAAAAAACTCTGGCAGTGAGCGACTCTCTGTTCTGAAAATGGCTGCCAGTCAATGAGTTAAGAACCCCAGACCTTTAGTACCCCATAAGGATGGAACGGTTTCTGAAAACCGTCTGAACCGTTGGGTTCTGTTTCGGTTCGGTTCGCGTGTGTTGGGTTCGGTTCCTGCTGCTCCTTTTTCTTAGAGGGAAGCGTTTACACTCCAGAGCAGAAGGGGGCGCTACTGCGCCCAAAGCCAACCACCAGTAGGAAACTAGAAGAAGTAGAGAAGCACTGTCTCCTCTTGTGCAATGCCAGAATCTCACCTACTTTTAACCCTGTAATGCCAAATGTATCATATTTGATTCATACGGTTTCTGAAATGTTTTGCGTCTGACACCTTTTGCATAATTTAATGGTAAAAACTTTGCTCAAAATCCTATTGTACACAATCAGATACACCTGATAACAGGGGGCAGAAGACTACACAACAAATAATCTTGACTTATCGCATATTAATAAATTATTATTAATATACATATATTTTTTAACATATTTAGTTAAAATGCCAATAAAAGACAAAAAAAAAGTAATTGTATCAAATGTCAGACTGCTTTTTTCTTTCAGTTTTAACCTGACTAT